TTATTTTTTTTCTGTTGGCATTACAGACCATGTTGATCTTTTACCGCCTTCTTTCCATTTATCTGCACGCAGCTCTGTTGCATCTTTGTTAATTATATATATCGATCTGTTTTTTGGCCTTCCTCGTGGTCTTTTGCCTTCTATTGAGGCATTCATTGTTACGTTGAGGCTTCCAGATGGATTGCTACGAACTACATGCCCCGCCAATCTTAACCTCCGTGGCTTCATATCATGCGATATTGATTCACCAATTTCTGTAAGCAGTTCATTATTGGTCTTTCTTCTCCGTGTATTATTAGTGTGATTCCAGATCGCTCCGGTTATTGTGTATTTTGCTCTGAAATCTTTTAACAATTTCTGCTAGTGTCCAGGTATCACAGCCATATATTAGAACTGGCTTTATCATCAAATTGTACACCCTTAATTTGAGATTTCTTGACATTTTTCGGGATTTTAGCACCTTTGAGAGGGAGGAGAAAGCTCTGTTTGGGCTAGTTATACGCTGGTCTATTTCTGCCAGTTGGTCATTCATTGAGATTATTGTGAAGCCGAAAACGTTATTGTAACATTCCAGGAATATAATTAAATGAAATGCGTAATTTTAATTGCAAACGACTTTACATTTTTGAGCTGGACTATTCCCATACGAATAGACACACTTACACAGACGTTTTTGCGAGGCTTTGTTATTTGGACTCGAAAACAGGTATTTTTTTTTTAAAACTTGGATTGGAAATTTTTCAGGGCCACATTATTTTTCCCTTATATTATATATCTAATAAATTTAATTTATGGGTTAGTGAAAGTAAAAAAATAAAAAGTAAATAATTATATAAAATTAAGTAGTATGAAGCATCACTGACCTACTGTAACTACAATTACGTTATCTAAGTAAAGTTGGCTTATCTATAAAAGGTGAATGATACTACTGTAATTAATTTCCTAAACATTTTTTAAATCATTTTAATTACAAACATAACAATATTATTAATTATTCCACATCAACATAATTAATATAATAAATCTTTAAACCATTAATTACATAGAAATTATTTAATGTATAACACGTTTTATTTCTCTGTTGTATAAACAAGTTTTTAGTGGCCATGTAATATTTGATTTTACATATTAAAAAAAGCGGTGTGGACCATAACGAAGAGACCACACTTCTTATTCCCAGAATTATTTATACCTCATCATGTTTACAAATTGGAAATCATATAATTATATAAATTGGCAATAAGGAGCGGTCTATAATATAGATTTTTAAAGAAATTAAAAATTTGTCCAATTTGTGGTCTCGTTTCGTTTATTTTATTTTATAAGAAATAATACAATTTGAACTACATACATGGAATACATATACATGGAATACATATACATGGAAATTATAGCTATACTATTTGAGCAACAAGTAGTACAATTAAATGAACAGCTGTATAATTCGTAAAATGTGGGCTGGGACAGAGCTTACCACCTCCCATCCTAGTAATAATTTTAATAAGGAATATGAACAGCTGTTATATTTAATAAAAACTGCTGGAAATGTACACAATTGTTGATGATTTATAAAACCTAAGAAAATTTCAGATTTTTTTGAGTATCACAGATAATACATAAATATTAATTAGTAAAAGTATATTTTTAATTTTCTTGTTTAGAATTTCTATGAAATTCTTCTAATTATGGTGTTTCTAAAACCTACGGTTCGATTGGGTATTTGAAAAATCGGAATCCGAAAAAATGATCCGTAATAATTTCTGGAAACAATATTTTTTCTCTCGAAAAACGTTATCCTGTTGATTTTAACAGAACATGTAAGCCTTGGGATTTGAACAATCAATTTCGAAGCGGTTGATATTAATATAATTATGCTCTGCAAAAAAATTTGTAATTCTGATCAAATCTTGTAACATTCCAATTAATAAGTTATTATGGGATCCACTGATAGTTCGTTTCATGTAAAGACAATTAGAAAAAATTATAAACTTAAAATCACTTATAATCTTGCATTAATTCATGAAGAAGTAATTATAAAATTGTATGTGAACAGTATATATATATATATATATATATATATATATATATATATATATATATATATATATATATATATATATATATATACTGTTAATATTATATATATATATATATATATATATATATATATATATATATAGAGAGAGAGAGAGAGAGAGAGAGAGAGGGAGGGGAGAGGGAGAAATGTGAAAGATGTCGAGTTAATGGGAATCTTCCACAGGATATCTTTTAAAAAACCCTCCTCATTAACGTTATTTCCATAAAGTGGAGAAATCGTTAAATGAAGGATGTTTTCCTGTGGTTATTGCTTTATCACTAGATGTCGAAAATTCTCTCTCCCCAACAAACGAAACATTATGTTTAAAATAAAAGAGCCTGTTTTCATATACAGACAGGGTGATTCAGAGTTAAGTGGTCAAACTGCAAAATTGAACTAAGGACCTCAAAACAAGAAAAAAAAATTCCTCTGAAGGTATGTCCGCAAACGCTTTGTTTAGGAGATATTCACACCTAAAGATTTTCGTTGTTATGAATTATTTACGTTAGCTACTTTATTAATCAAATATAAACATTAACATTCATTTTCAATGTTGTTCAAAGTGATTTCCTTGAGCCTTACGACAGGCAACTTTCTTCAACAGCAGCAGTGGCAGAACGGCACTGGATATGGATTATTGTTTCACAAGATTCAATTGCCCTTCTTCGTAAGAAATTAAGGTCATTGACTGGACTTGCATAGACTTTTTATTCAATATCAGCTCAAACAAAAAAATCTAGTGCCATGTGATTTTGCGTTTATTATTATTTTTTTTTTTTTTATGTGACATTAAACAAAAAGTTTCTGCGAATCATTAAGAAGAAGGATAATTGAATCTTATGAAACAATAACACATATCCAGTGCCGTTCTGCCACTGCTGCTGTTGAAGAAAGATGCCGAGCCTGTCTTAATGCTCAAGGAAATCACTTTGAACAACATTTAATATAAATGTTAATGTTTACATTTAATTAATAAAGTAGTTCGAAAAAAAAATAGGTTTTATTTATTTCATACAACGTAAATAATTCATAACAACGAAAATCTTTAGGTGTGAATATCTCCTAAACAAAGCGTTTGCGGACATAACTTCAGAGGAATTTTTTTTAATGTTTTGAGGTATTTAGTTCATTTTTGCAGTTTGCGACATTTAACCCTGAAACACCCTGTATATAATTTTTGTACATACAGTGTGAATGTGATCTTATCTCTCTATAACCATTGTCAAAGTGACAGAATGATATATTTTCCAATAAATATAAAAAAGAAAAAAAACTTCAATGTTTAAGCCTTCCTAAAATCGTTCGTTTGTTGGTGAAGTTAAATAAATTTTAAAAAAAGAAGAAAAGTTGATTAAATTCACAATAAAAAACACCATAAAATAGTTACTACTATATTTCTATTATTAACTCAATAATATTTGTAAGAATATTCTAATATTAATTATTTTAAAAATATGATAATTGTATGTATATTAAATATGTTTTTATCGAGGCAAAAAATGAACAACTAAAATTTGATTTTAAACATTCATGCACGTGTTTATACTCGTGCTTATTTAAATTTGAATAATTGTCATGATTGTTAAAACAATAATATATACTGATAAGAATCGGAAACCTCTGAACCGTTTTCAACAGTTTTGGTACAGAAATCATATATTTTTAAAACTTATTAGATTATACTAAACAAAGCAAGTCAAAATCAAGCCATCCTGTATTTACTCGATATCATTCGTAATATATCCATAGAAGATATGATTACAAGGTTGCGAAGTTTTATGTAATTGTTACTGTCGGTCTCTGTCTAGCGCTATTAAAATTATAAGAATTAAAATACGAATAGTTTTTTCAAGATTTAATTATTTTTCAGGTTTAAAATTAAAGAAAAATATATATACAATTATTATTCTTGTTTCCAATGGTAAAAAAAAATATTACTGGGAACAAGCTTGAAAATAATGAAAATGATACACTGAAACGTCGTAAATTATATGGATGTATATAATAAAAAATAAATAATTTAAATATTTGATCAAAATAACAAAAAAATAAATAAATGAATGTTTACATTAACAAAAAAACTAGCTTTTATATTACATACGCCTTGTTGTTATTATATGTTATCTCAATAAAGTTGTTTGATTTGTTATTCTATTTCATTTTCAATTGATGCTTATTCAAGATTATCAGCAAAATAATTAAACCAAAGAATTATTTAAGTATAATCAGGTAACGTTTCAGCCAACATTGGCCGTTATCACCGATAAAATTAAGATAAGAAACGAAAAGGACAGAGTAAAATCTAAAAACAAAAGTATTATTTATTTCCACAAATATAGCAGAGACGTTGTAACTTTTATTTATTTTTGTTTTTATTTGAAGGATGTAAATTTTTTTTTTTAATTTGAATAGTTTCAAATGAACCTTGAAACTTTATTAAGCAAAGAAATATTCTAATTTCTCAACTGTTTTGGTTTTGAACTTTTTGCTTACTCATTACGACAATAAACAGCTATAGTACAATTTAAGAGGCTGTTTCAGTTCTTTAAGGAACTGTTTTTACTACATTGTTGATCATTTAAAGGTGAATTCTCAGATTTTCCAAATATTTAAATTATCAAATTATTGTGAGGAACAGAGGAGGGGGAAATGACAAACGTAACGACGTCCCTGATACACGAATTAATTAAATATTTCCCATGGAAATTATATTATCAACATACATCAGTATTTGTATTATTTTTATTTAATCGAAGATTAAGATGTTGCTTTTAATTCTGTATCATCCTTGATGATTGTACCAATCGCATTCGTACATAATATAATATAAATAAATACACTACGGACACCGCTCAAAAAACTAAATGTCTTAACAACCGGAGTATTTATACCTAAAAGGATAGAAATGTATACAGGTACATACCGTTTAAGCAAAAGCTAGAGCTGTAAGAAAGACACTAAATTTATAAGAAACACACAAATTTCATGTTGGGAGGACTATGGGCCTCCAATTACACTGAGCGAATGTCATGAATCAAGAGAGCGGTGGGAACACTACTGGCTCACGGTGCTCTACACGTGAGTTTCAGGGCGGCCAACCTCCCGCCAGGGATCGTCCCCTTTTCATATTTCTTCCCCTCACTGGCAGCACTGCTAGCTCTTGTAAACAGTGTCGTGTCATTTTTAATTAACAATAATTTAAATATAAATATTATAGTTATCATTAAAAGTATAGTGCTTCTTAATCATTTTTTTGGTGAATTTAATCGGCATTAAAAAAAAAATATTTAATATCAATAACAAACCAACAATTTTAGGAAGGCTTATATGGAGATACATGTTAAACGTAAAACAACCAAAAAATAAAGGGAGAGGAGTATTGTTTTTCATGAGGAACTAATAGAAGGAATCACGATCTGTGGATGTATTTGGACTGGAAAGGAGAACAAGGTTATCATCCTCTATACCCTCGTGGAATCCTGTAGACTGCTGAGCACATTATCATAAACTGCTCCGCTTTTGAGTCGCTAAGGGCCAAATTGGTGAGGGAAACCATTCTCTATGTTCTCACAGAGACCAGTTCCCTCAGCTAGTTACGGAAGAAAACTACCCGTACCATAAAGAATGTTTGTACGGATGGAAAGAAGCCATTGGACCCGTACACTTCAACCTAACAAGAAGAGGACCCGCGCCAGGGAGGCCGCCGGAACAAGGAGGAGAGGAAAAGGCCATAAACAGCTAATCTAAATATGAACATTGGTCTCGTTGCAGAAGCAGGCAGTTATGCAGTGACGTTTAACAACCCAGTTCTGCTTCGTGGGCGGGGTGGCCGAATGGCCTAATGAGTGTGCACTTCACCGCCGTTGCCCGGCAACCTGACATATGAGACAACGATGAAAAATAGTTCCGAGTTCGTATCCCGGTGCCGGGTCTTTTAAATCCCCGCCCACATTCTCTGGCCCGGAAGAACCCCGTATAGCCTTAAAGGCGAGGACCCAAAAAAAAAAACCAGTTCTGCAAAACTCGTGTTGCCTCAATGGCAAGGTAGGGTTCACATAAATAAATCTGCTATTGAGGAATGGTCGCAGGAGCAATAAGAAATATCCAATATGTTATTTTAAATAGATCGGTGGTAGGCTATTGTAGTTGAGGAGCCGTGGGACTAAGTAGTTTTGTCGCATAAAAATACTTATTCTTCTCTACAATTTCGTTTTTTCTAGTTATTGCAGTACCTAAACTTCTCTGCGTGTTCGAATATATTCTCTTCTATATAGAAATCACCGAAATTGTAGCTAAATACATATAAATATATATATATATATAGTCTTATCCGTATTTATTTCGAGCACCAGGTCTTTACCGGTTTTCATAAACGTTATCGTATTTAGATTTATAGCTTTCATGTCTTTGCTTAACAGGACCGAATCATCAGCATAACCAAGCGCAGGTACTGCTCTATCCAGATTCAAATCTTTTTCGGCAAGTATTACCTCCCTTGATAATTAATGAAAGGGTATCACCTTGTTTTAAAATAGAACGAACTCACATTTTTGAGATAAATAATTACCTATTCTAATTTTATTGAATGTTTCCGTCAAGCACTTTTTGACTAGATTTACTAAATTTCGGAATCCTTTGCTCAATTAGAATATATGTTTCTGGTTGTCAACGGAATTATAAGCCTTTTTGAAATCGATATACATCTGATGAATATCCGTTTATTATAAAATATTCAGTTTATAATAAAAACTTTTATTTATTATTTACACTTTCACTTACCTATTTTATAAGTATGTAAGTCAAAGTAAAGATGAAGAGATTCTTTGAAAACTGACACTAATCTGTGTCAAGCTATTTATTGTATTTCATTGATAAGACTACACAAGGGGCAGAATTTTTATTTATTAATATATATATATATATATATTATTTTCCTGTATAATTTATTTTATTTATTGTACATAGAGTGTGAATGTGATCTGTGAACTCTATTATAAATGTCCTAGAGACAGATTGTAATATTTTTCAATAAATAAGTTTAAAAAATATATATATATATATATATATATATATATATATATATACACACTGACAGGCATAAAATTCCACCCACTTGATTTTTTCATGTTTTCATCTAAAAATATTTCTGCTTTTGGAATGGTCTATTGTTTTTGCTGAATAAATAGTTAACCTTTTTGTTTGTTTTCAATTAGGAATGTTAATGTAGAGGACAATAATCCTTAATCCAATGAAATGATTCTAGATTCCAATGTTTACTTTCTATGGAATCAGAATGTTTATTCAGTATCATTAGTTCAGTGCCGTTTCTTGCAGCACATTTCTTAGTCAAAGGCTTTTAATTTTTTCAATATTAAGTTTAAAAATGCCTCTTAGTGCTGAGGATGTTGCGCGTGGTGTGGCACTTATTGATGATGGACGTTCCATTAGATATGCAGCTAATGCCATCGGAGTTTCATATGAAACTTTACGAGACGGGAAACTTCGGGAAACTGGTTCTTACAATAGAAGGCACGGTTCTGGACGGCCTAGGGTAACAGAACCACGGGATGACCGGTTTTTGACTTTGAGAATTTTACGAAACCGGAACCTTGCCGTTGCTCAAGCGATTCATCAGCTCGAAGCAGTTCGAGGTATGCAAATTTCTGGACGTACCGCACGGAGAAGATTAAATGAGTATGGATTAATGGCTTTTCGTCCGATTTGAATTACAATTTTAATAAGAGTTTTATCTGTTAAGAATGGTTTAAGGGTTTGCTGTACAATCTCCGAAAATTCCTATATCCTACATACTTCTTCATTATCAGTTCCTACCTAACTGATTGATACTTCAAAGTAAATCACAATAATGCATTATTCATCCCACTTTTCCCAGTCCGCTGGTGTTCCTCAAGGTAGTATCCTAAGTTCTATCCTTTATACAGTTTATACAGCTGATATCCCAACCCATCCTAATACTGTTATTACCACGTATGCTGATGATACATGTGTCCCATTCGTTAATAATGAGCCAACCATTGCATCCCAAACTCTTCAATGACATATCACAAACCTTGAAGAATGGTGTCGAACTAGAGGATTAAAATAAATTCTAATAAATCCCATCAAATCACCTTTACCCTTCGCCGTAAACCTATGAACTCCTGCCCTACAGTATCCTTTAATAATACCTCACTTATACCTGTTGAACAAATCCGATACCTTGGACTCCACTTGAACAAAGGCCTAACTTGGAATCCTCATAGGAGACTGAAACGACAAGGAACCGCTCGACGTTTCCGACTACTCCAACACTTACTAGACAAACGCTCTAAGCTTCCAGTTAATTACAAAAGACTCATATACATGACTACAATAAGACGTATTTGCACTTACGGAGTTGAGCTTTGGGGCGTCACTAAGCCATCAAATTCCTCTCGTGTCCTATCCAAAATCCTTCGGAAAATCCTGAATGCTCCTTATTTTGTCAGCAATAAAATAATTCATAACGACCTTAATGTTACTTATGTTTCCGATTTATCCTTCCATAATAAATTTCAGAACCATCCGAATTCTCTCGTCTCTAACCTTGCTTCCTCTTCTATCCCTGATAACCTTCCGAGGCGTCTGAAAAGAAGATGGCTTCGAGATCTCCTATTGTAAATACATTTTTTTTTTTAGAGTGCTACCAGTGGGTAGTTTCTCAACAAGTGACTTTATGTTATTATTTTCTGTTATCAAATTTACTAAATGTATTTTATTTATTAATATAGTTGTAAATGTCATGAATAAAAAATAAAATAAAAAAAGAATGGTTTATGGTCCATATTTTATACATACCAGGAATTTTTTTTTTTTTTTTTTATCGCTTTTTACAAGGACTTTCTTCCGTTTTATTCTTGCAGACAATCATCGTAAATTATACCACTGTGACGAAACACGGCCATTAACTTCCGCCTAGTAGGAAGGTAGGATAGGTGAGAGTGTCCTGGACTATTCCAAGGACGATCTTCTTGCGTTCCTTCAGTCAGCCGACAGAACACGTGAAGGACTGAAGGCCGAGGGTATCCAAAGGTCGCTGTTCCTATCGCCCATAAATAGATGGCTCGAATGGAAATAACTTTTGAATGAGGCCTCATCGAACGGCCTTCAACGGAATACCTGGATAATTATAGCGCAGTTGTTTTAGGTAATTTTGATAACGCTGTTGTATTAATGTAATGTAAAAATATTTTAATTTAAAAAAAAACCGACTGTAATCTTATCCATCGTAGGGAAGTAAATACATATCTAGTTAAACACCTTGGTTGATTAATAAGGAAATGGTTGACATCTACGATATTTAAACTCGATTTAGTAATCTTGTGCTTTTCTCCCCCAAACAAAAGTCAAGACTCATTGACATGCACCGACACAATGAATGAAATGCTGTCGCCAGGTGCAGATAGCAGAAGGCACAAAACCTTGTGCCGGGGATTAAAAAGGGTACTTAGAGCAGAAGATGACATGAACGTGACTTGCGTTGTAACCCAAAAAGTAAATTTTTGTAAGTAATGTAAAGTGAAAATATTTACCTTTCAAAGTTGCTGATTGAAAAGTATTAAACCAAGTTGTTTAGAATCGAAACGGAGGTAGTTATGAATGAAGAGATTAAGAGTAAGCGAATTAAATTGAGATAAAAATGAGGCTTTTTTTTTTAAGTTAGCGGATATCTCTGAAACAACGATGGAAGTAAAAAAATGAAAATTATTAATTTTATCAACATTAATTTTGTATAGAATGTCTTCATAGTTCGGACGCATTAAGTCATTCCCGATTTAAGCAGAAACCCGAAAAACGTGACCTTTTGGATGACTCCTCCCCCGTTGGCCTCCTTACTAGCCCGAAGTCGCAGAATCTTAAACTGCGTTCTTTCCATTTACATGTTATAGTAACTGAGTGACGGGACTATAGGACATCCCAGACCTATCTTAAATAGGTAATTTCATTTAGATAGGAAGATAAGCCAATACCGAAGGAAGATAAGCTTTGTATTCGTTCGGGAGGTTAAAAACGTTTTGTCCTCAGAATC